CTCGGTGTTCCCTAGCCGCCTATCCCCGCAGGGACAGAGAAGCCATTTGTTCTGCTAGAGAAGCCATTTGTTCTGCTAGAGAAGCCACTTGTTCTGCTAGAGAAGCCACTTGTTCTGCTAGAGAAGCCACTTGTTCTGCTAGAGAAGCCATTTGTTCTGCTAGAGAAGCCCTTTGTTCTGCTAGACAAATCATTTGTTCTGATGGAGAAGCCGTTTGCTCCGTTTTTTTAACTTTGCGAAGAAACGTTTCTCTGTCTCTAATTTTTCCCGTTGTGTGCACGAACTATTTTTTTTTTCCCCTTAAGTGTATAGTTTTTCTTTTCCCCCTCTTCAGTGCCTCCTTTTTATATTCCCCCAAGCCTCCACGGCACCAGCTCGGACATTGTCCAACTTGATGTGTATATATATAAACGTCCGTGCGTGTGCGCGTATGTAGAGGTGAATGTTTTTGCGCACTATGCGTATCCCCACATATGTGTGTTGTGTATGCGTTCATGTGAGCATGCGTGTATGTACACATATATATGTACACTATACATTAACGCATATGTATCTTCATACCATGTCGTTATTCATATATACACGCCTGTGCATGTGCGTCCCCATCGCTACATTTTCTCTTCCCCCAAATGTCACAAAACACGCGTATCGTACATACCTTTGTCGAATGGTAGACTCTCACACATTCCCCCAACCTGTTTTGTCAATCTTTTTTTTTTTTTTTTTTGAATAACAACCCGCCCCCTTTTAAATTTCGTTATGTTTGGTTAAAAAAGGTAAGCCGTAAAAAGGGGAGGGCGCAGTACAGCAGCGGTGAGTGTACTCATGCAGACGAAATTGTGGCCAAAAATGTTGAAACCGTTACAGCGAATTTGACTCAGGATATGAGGCGTTCCCTTCTCCTTCCTGCGGAAATGAATCCCGTTGAGAGTTAGAGCTGCTGCATCTTCTTCCAACACATCATGAACAGCCAGAAGATACACTTTAAAAGGGCTTCTTTTTGCTTAGCTTTGAAGGGTTTATATAATACATATATATATTTTTTTTTTTCCCTGAACTGTTCAGGTGAAAAAAAGCAACGTTCATATTGTGTGCACAAAAAGTAGGGGCAAGGGGGTGAATAAAACAAACAAAAAAAAAAAAAAAAATGTGTGCAGGCGCGCACGCAGGGACGTTGTGTGCAGATACGTACCTACGGTGGACATATATGTGCGAACTCTTCATACATGCAAAAAAAAAAAAAAACTCCACAAAGAGGAAGACGCGACACGTCTTCACTATCAATTTCGATTACGTGGGTGTGGTCCTGCCCGAATGATGCACAGTGGATGCGCGGTGGATGCGCGCTGGACACGCGACCACTTTGTAAGGCAGCCGCATCGTTACGTAGAGATTAACACCGCCCCACACCCTAAAGCGGCGCGCCGGCGACGCAAGACTGCTCGTAAAACTTCTGACCCGCCTTATTCGTCTCGCGCCAGTGGTAGAGGAAATTCTTGAAGAGCTCCGTCCGCTGCTCATGGTTCAAATTTAAGTAATTGCTCACCTGCTGGTTTATTTCTTCGTCCGAGTTAATTATAAAGGGATTACTCTCCCGCTCAATCCCATTCGCTTGATTAAAAATTTTGTTATTATTTTTATTTTTCAGTCCATTTTCAAGTTCGTCAATTTTGCAGTGTAATAATGTCTTATCACTTAGCAGGACATTTTTCTCATTCTCAATTTTGGAGTTTTCCAACCGAAGTCCATCAATTTGATTTACAAGGACAACTTTCTCGTTGTTTAAAATTTCAATTTGATTTCTTAACTCGTTAATTTCTTTGTTCAGATTAAATTCGTTTTGAGCAATTTTTCTCAACTGTTGATTTTCATTTGCAACTTTATTCATTTCCATTTCGAGATTGTTGTTTAAGTCAATTAATGTTTGCACATTTTTATTTAAATTTGATATGGTCCCCTCCGAGCTATTTTTAACTCGGTCCAATTTTTCATCATATGTAATGATAATATTCCTCAGCTCTTCGATTTTTATGTGGCTGTTTTTTTCCCTCTTCAAAGTCTCCTTTAGTAAATCAGAAACCTTGTTGTAGCTAATTCGTATTTTATTAATCTCCTCCGTACTTTTTTTCCTATTCCTTTTTAAACACTCACAATAGCTTAGCAGCTCTTGAAACAAGTACACGATGTCTTTTTTTTTTTCTGCGAAGCATTGGGATGATATATTCAAATATTCCAGACTCCCTTCGTTGTTGTTCCCCCCTGCCGTTGCCGCTGCTGTGACGCCCACCTTACCGTTCATGCTGCTTCCGTTTTGAACAAAGTTTACGTGTCCTATACTTGGCGTGTTGAAGTTGTTTCCCTGCAGGGTCAGGCTGCTGCTCACGCTGCAACAGTTATTCACGCTACAGCAGTTGTTCGCGCTGCAACAATTCTTCGTGCCACAGAAGGGGTACTCCCCAACCCCGTTGCCGTACTGTCCCGCACACGCCCCATAGTGTCCTCCTGCATGAGAGTACTCTCCCCCCGGGACGCCATACTCCGCCCCACCAAAGCTTTGCGAGAAGGACACAGGAGAGGTATTCAAATGTACACTGCTATGCTTCACACCATGCTTATCATTATTGAAAGACAACACAGTTTCTTTGGGCTTCCAAATTGTCCCACTAGAATTTTCTGTTTTCTTCTGATCAGAGCCTCCCACCCAAGCACCATGGTTCTGCAAAGTGCTATTCAAGGGATACTCCTCATTTGCATTTTGCCCGATTTTATTGCCAATTTCTTTTTTTTCATTACTTACGATTACACAGTTTTTTTTTGGCGTGAAAAATACAGCCTGCCTCATGAGGTAGTTTTTTTTCGCATCGCTCTGGTAGCAATTCATCGTTGGCTGGGTTGGCAGTTGGGCTAGTGGTTGGGCTGGAAGCGCAGAAGAAAGTGCCTTTTCTCCCGGTTTATGACCCGGAAGGTTGAGGGGGTTGTCCACTTGACTGTCTCCTAGAGTACTCCCCAGCGTGTGTCCCACCTTGTCGCTTAACTTTGCATGAGCGGGCACGCTACACGTGTTGCCAGACGAGTTCGCTACTTCACTTGGGCATTCCTTCGAATGGGAGGGGACCGTGCTGGTAGGCTCGTCTGCCTGAGAGCCGGTGTCAATGCGGGGGTGCGTCTGGCTCAGGCTTCGGCTTTGACCTGCCGCTTGATCTGCCCCTTGACCTGCTGCTTGACCTTCGCTTCGACTTCGGCTGGGATTTTCCCCCTGGCTTCCGCTTTCGTTTTTTACTTTTAACGCGTGGTGCGCATCGCTCCAAGTCACCTTCCGTGGAATTTCCTCTTCGCCTTGTAATATGCGCGCTTTGGGGTTGCATAAATTGTGGGTTCCTTCTTCAATATTTTGGGCTGAACTGCTTTGCCTGCTTTTTTTTTCCGACTGGTAAAATGCCATTCTTTAACTCAAGTGCAAATTTTACCAACTCGGGGTGCTTTTTCCTTTTTTTTTTTTTTTTTTTTTTTTCCCTGTTCTGCCCTACTTTTGCCTATTTATTTTTTGCAAGATAGGTCGCAAGGCCCGTGCGAGTTGCATGCTCTTCTCCCCAGGGGGGGGCTGCGCCTGTGTAGCCTGTGTAGTAGCCGGGTGTGCACATGCAAGGAGTACCCAGCGAGAATCAATCAGAGAGACAAACCTGCGAGAACCGTCGCATCAGAGCAAGCGGGCGCTCGCACACTGAGCGTCCTTGTGTGCAGGAAAAAAAAAAAAAAAATGTCCAAAAATGGAACCTCGCGGGGGAGGGGGAAAAAAAAAGGCAATTGCGGAGATTACACGCACGGCAAAAATAAAAAATAAAAAAAAAAAACCATGCAACGTTTTGTCCTGAGACCCACTGCCGTTTGCTCAAACGTTCTAATTAAGTCTGTTCAGTTGGAAAGTATCATCACGGTAAAGCCACGATACATTCTTAGCTGTTTTTTTTTTTTTTTTTTTTTTTCGCAGAATGGCGCTATTTGAGTTGCAGCCATTTTTTAGCACCTTGACATTTGGATAAACCATCTGGGGATATTAAATCGTTACCTTTCTTTTCCACCACTTTCCGTTTCGACTTCCATTTCCACTTCACGCAACCGCTGACTTGGATCATCTTTTTCGAATTACTTAAAATGGGCAAGTGGTCAGGTGAACTAAGTAGCACTGCGGAAATGAGTCACTGGGAATTTTCCTTTTTTTTTTTTTTTTTTTTTTTCCCATGAGCGTTCTTACATAGGTGTACATACACGTGCGTACGTAAAGGGGTTTATATAAATTCTCATTCCGATGATCACCATCGGGCTGATGACTCTCCAGCTGTTCCCTCTTCACCGGTTGAAACCCAAATGAACGTGTCCCCTTGTGCGAAAATACGGATCCTCCACAACTGTGTGAAGAAGGGCACCGCCTATCCAACGCCACACCCCATTGTCCTTCACCCGGAAATAGTGGCTTGCACCAAGGGCATGAATTATACTCCCACGATGGGAAGTTCAGTCAAAAGAAGCAGCTTTTTTTTTTTTTTCCTTGCAAGTGTAACATAATGACATGCACGTTTTAGTAATTCTCATTGGGGGGGAGAGATGGGACTAAAAGGCCGATTTATTTTTTTTTTTTTGCGCGATGCACACATGCACACTTGTGGTATGCGCTCGAAAAAAAAAAAAAAAAAAAAAAAAGGAAATGTGATATAAGGGCATATTTTATGTGATGCGAACATTTGGCAGACTGGCTGAACATCCCACCGACATTCTCAATAATTGGAGAGCGCAACTACAAAAAGGGAGAATATAACAATTCGAAGCGCCCTTTTAGGAGAGGCATTTTTTTTTTTGCGCTTCCGCCCGCTGCTCCCCTAACGTGTACATGTGATTCTCTCCCATATTGAATCCCACCCCCCCCTTGGCGAAAAACAAACGAGAGCACGCCGAAGGGTGTATGACCCCCCCCACACACACCTGCATCGTCACTCGTTCTTGTCTGCAGGGGGCCGGAACCAAGCTGGCGCCAACCTCAAGACCATATTTTTGAGGAAAAAAAAGTGCCCACGTGGGGTGAAAACAATATTCGTCGCATTTTCACCCGCTGTGGCATGTGCGCCTTTGTTCCGTTTTTGCTTTTGTGAGCAAGTGACACACAGTGAGGAAGCAAAGAAGGGGGGCATAGGCAGTCCTTTTTTTTACCCCCGTCAGTTCTATAATTTCCCCTGCGTGGTGCAACATGAACTTCGGACTCAGCGGCCTGGACGACCTGAACGGGCTGGACAAGGCCCTCATTGAAGAAATTGAAAAGGAGACAAAGGGTGGTGGTAGTAGTAGTGCGGCGGACAACAAAAGAAAATTTGACATGTACGATGAGTACGAATTGTTATTAAATAAAAAAAAAAAAAAAAAAAAAAAATATGAACAAGTGGAAAGGAATACAATATTAACAGCTAAAGCTAACTTTGAGCAAAGCACCTTTAGAAACTCAATCACAGGATCCCCATTTAATCGCACATTTCAGAATCACTACATCTTCAATGATTACTTCTTCCTCAGAGAGTACGTGTACAAAAATAATTTAACTTGTGATGATATATTTTTTAAGTCTGAACAAGTCAAATCAAAATGTAAAAATGAATGTTCTAAATTAGTTAGTACAAATAAAGACATAAATGACTACCTCAAGATTTACGACTGCAATGACATTTTCCCCCCTGTGTATGTAAAGAGGTTTGGTTGTGAGGGGGAAAACCAGGTAGGACAAAAGTATATGACCAGTGGGAGTGACGATGTGGAGCAACAACAAGGTGATGCAAGCTGCATGAGCAACTCCTTCATCAGACGAAACAAGCAAGAGTTCAGAAAAATGCTAGAGAAGGTTGTACAGGAAATTAAAGAAGAGGAGGAGCAGAAGCAGGAGCAGAAGCAGCAGGAAAGGATAGAAAATGAGAAAACGGAGTCAGGAGATATTTACCAACAGGAGGCGGGAAAACATATGAAGAAACAAAAGTGCATTAATTTTGTAGAAAAATATAGAGCAAAATATTTCTCGGAGCTATTAACAGATGAAGCTATCAACAGGGAAGTCCTCTTGTGGATGAAGCAGTGGACTGAGCGAATAGCTAAAGGACAAACAAACATGACACCCACACATGAACATGACCAAAATGAGCAAGACGAAGCAAGGAAAAATAATGAATTTCAACGAATCTTACTTCTAGGTGGGTCAGCAGGAAAAGGAAAAACAACTCTAGCATATGTCATCGCTAACCATTTTAAATTCAACATCATCGAGATTAATGGAAGTGATGACAGAAATAAGGAAACGTTAATTCCGCTAGTAGAATCCATTGTCTGTAACAACTCCATAGGTTCTAAACCAAACATATGTATAATCGATGAGGTAGATGGACTCACCAGCACGCAACAAAACATTGAAGCCATTATAAAATTTCTTATGAAAAAAGACAGGAGAAATAAAAGCATTATCAGAAGACCAATCATTTGTATATGCAACGACATTTACCACAAGAGTCTAAAGGAACTTCGAAAAATAAGTAAAGTAGTTGTGGTGGACAGTGTGAACCACGAAATGTTGAAAGCGAGAATCAGTTTTATTTGCGACAAGGAGGGAATCAGCATAGCGAATGAGGCGGTAAATAAGTTGGTGGAAATTTGTAAAGGGGACATTAGGGCTATTCTGAACACCATATGTTTCCTCAGCATCGGGGGGGCCGCCACGGCTAGCGGCGTGACTGGCGGCGTGACTGGCATGGTTGGCGCTCCCCACGCGGAAGCATTTCCACGCACACCCAAGCAAAAGCGCAAAGTAGTCATCACCATGGACCTCCTCAACGCATACCTCTTCTACAAAGACGCAAACAACAACTACATGGAACTGCTAAACATGATCTATGTGAAAAATAAAAACAAAAAAATAATTAAACAATTGTTACAGGACTGCCATGAATTCTTCTACCTAAACATGTCCAACGAGTATAACTACCTCCAATCCTACTACTACATCTACGACAATCTTATGAATGTACCTTTTAACGATTTTGACTTTTGTAAGCTTAGCTACTGTCTCGACTTCCTTACCTTGTGTGATACCTTGGAATATAAACAAAAACAAAATTTAAATTACTCTCTTCAGAAGATGTTATTCTATGCTGTATACCTTTTCATTCTCATCCTGAACCTCAATATGAACTCTCACGTGCAGTACATTCTCATGCATAACAGCCACAGTCACTTTCATCGAACAAAACAATTGAGTGTAAAACAGATTAAGGAAAATTTTTTAAATGAAAATTTCGGGGCTATCACATACAAGTATATCTACTCTAAACATTTTTTCTTTGAAATTATAAATTATATTTTTTCCTTCTTTTACATGAATGAATTTTTTTACAGAAATGTCCACCTGTGGGGAACAGCTAGCTACTTCAACGACTTGGATGCACCCAAGTACTTCCTTGTCCCTTACCATTTCAACAACGTGAATAAATTAAAATTGTTTTGCTTGAAGCTGCTCCACCTCATGACACTTTTTAATATTTCATTCACTAATGTTTCTGTCTCATGTTCATCCACGGGGTCCTTTCACTTTGCTTACCCCAAAGCTAACCAACCCTTTCGGGGGTCATCATCAGTGGCAGCGGCGACAGCGGCTGGGGCAGCGCAAGGGCCGGGGGGAGGCGCCAACCACATGGACAGCAACCCGATCGACGCCAACCCAAGTGGAGGAGCCCACGCTTCTGTTTCTGCCGTTGCTGCGGTGGGAGGCGGGCAGCCAGACAAGATGTACGTGTTCGACCCCTACGTAGATGACTTCCTCCTGTATGCCGAGAAGAAGGAAACGGGGTACAGGCCGTTGCACCAGATTGGCAAGCCGCCCATGGCTACCCCCCACGTCAACGCGTTCCACGTCAACACGTTCCACTCCAACACGTTCCACTCCAACACGTTCCACTCCAACACGTTCCACTTCAACACGTTGGAGAATTTCCTCAACAACACCGTGTGCGAAAAGTTAAACCAATTGAAGCAGTGGATTAACAACCAGTCGCTGTACTTTTATAAAAAAAAAAAAGAATCAAATCAAATGCATATTATTAAGTCTTCCTCCTCCAAGGCCACAAACAAAGGAAAATTCGAAATTAGCTACACACCTAATTTTGAAAAATCGCTAACTGATATTATTTTAATTGCACAACAGAAGGGCTACCAGAACACTTTCTCTTTTTATTTTCCAAATGAGGTACCTCAAGATGGTGTGGGTTCTACCTGCACAAGGATAGATGCAAAAACGGGTTCAACGGGTCAACAGCAAAAAGGCGTACGCAAACCAGGGACAAATCTTAAAAATGAGCAAAACATTTTGAAAACGAAAATTTTACACAACACAGGGGATGCTGCACTCACCATCGCAGACCTCATAAGAGAAGAAAAGAATTACATGGACCAGAACATCAACAAGGAAAATAACATTTACTTCACGGGCAAGTATGTCAAGACCAAGGGCTACTACAAGAACATCGAGGAGCGATGCAATGCGGTTCTCCAGCCCCTCCACTTTTGCGTCTTCCAGGGCAGCTAGGCTGCGCTTCGCAGCGGTTAGCATCGCAGCGGTAGCATCGCAGCGGTTAGCATCACAGCGGTTAGCCGCTTCTAACCGCCTCTATCGCGCTTTTTTTTTTTTTTTACCACCCCCTTTTTGCTCCTACCGCCCTGCTTCTCCACATCTCGTTAGTGTACCTCTTAAAAAGAGTCTCCCCCGAAAAGGGGAACCCTAATTCGAACAAACCCCCCCCACACCCCACTTAGTCGGTAAACGATATGTAGCTACTTTTCTTCGTGAAGGAATGAGAAGAGTTAACCTTCGGCTCATCGCACAGGTGAGAGCATGTCATGATGACATCCGCTACACAAAAGTGCAAAAAAAAAAAAAAAAAAAAAAAAAAAAAAAAAAAAAACGGTGCTTCACCTCCCTCTGGCTACATGTATTTACGCCCCATTATTAGACATCCCCCCCCCCTTCTAATCCCTTTCTTCTT